TGTTTATCGAAACCGTCTCAAATATTTAGGCAATGCAGTAATATTTAATTAGTCGATTTTGTGTAGCTATTTGTAGTTTTTGATTTATAGTTATAGCTATATTTTAATTGTGTATTTATTGTCAAACTTTTGGGCTGGGCTGACTTCAATATGGCCCCACCATGGGAAAATTTTTGGTCACGTGAAAGGGTGGCGCCGCTAGCGGCCGTTTATCTCGAAAGTGGGCTAATATATTGGCCTGAGATCCAAACATTGTCATCGTGTAACGATAACCATCTTAACCATCTTTATGGCCTGTGAAAAGAACCTACAAGTGTGATCTATATATTTTTATGTCATACAACTTACAGTTTGGCATTCCCATTCACTTTGTATAAATTATTTTGGATTTAATATAAATATATATATAGACCTCTTGACATCAAAAAAATCCAACTAATAGAACATTAGTGTAGTGATACTGATCATGCGTAACCGATAATTCTCAGCTGATTCCATGTATAATGTGGTATTGGTATAAAACAACACATGTTGATAAATTGAAAATCTCAGCAAGAGTTTATGTTGTCATGCTGTCTGTCTGTCTGTCTGTCTGTCTGTCTGTATTTTAATGATCCAGTGTATAATTACGGTATATTTTTTGTTTATTGCAGTGTTGGGAGTTACAAGAGAAGCAACAAAGGTACTATTAAATCCACGGTGTACATATATTTGATTGTCATCACACAGCAAATGTTTGACTTTTTATTGTCATCACACAGCGAATGTTTGAATTCTGATATTCGTGACACAACGAATGTTTAAATTCTATGTAAACAACCAAGGTGTCAATATAAGTAAATGTTTGTTTTTTTTAAATTTGAATATAAAGAATTATGTTGCTCATTAAATTGATATAATCTGTTTGTGTTTATCGCAGGGAGAGATCAGTAAATCATATCGACAGTTAGCCAGAAAGTATCATCCTGATAAGTATAAGGTAAGTTTATATTGTAAATAAGAGTACCACAACCATCACAGATTCTTGTGAGGTTAAGCTGTATTATTGCGGATTCCAACTAGTGATACTGTTTATACTGTAGAATGCGTACAATGTCTCTCTTAATTTATGCATAACTAAAATAACATTGATGGACTAAATGTCACTATAGTAACCATGCACAACTGTAAATTTATATGTGCTACTTAACAAATGTCTTGTCCTAGGGGCCTGATGCCGATACCAAGTTTCAGACAATAGCAACAGCTTACGAAATACTACGAGATGAAGATCAAAGAAAAGATTATGACTATATGTTGGATAATCCAGGTAATACAATCCTTTGGATTATTTATAATCTGTTGTTTCTTCTGCTTGATGGATTTTATTTGTACATAAGTGAGAAGCCATGGATAAGAAAGACATTTGCACAAAATTCAAAAGCCAGTGTACTTGTTGTTGCATTATTTAGAGGTAGATTACATTTGTGTTCATGTTTTAATCATCCAAGACTACTTCGGACAGTGTGAAGTCACACTTGAAATGATTATTGGTGGGGCTTAAAAGTAACACAGTTATCCTGGGCCCCACACAGTGAATTCAATACATGTTACATACCATTGGTTGTTTTCACAAAATTTTGCTCTTTAAGAAATTATAAAAATGCCACAAATACATGATATATTGGTTCTTCAAATGAGTATAAAACCCAAAACAAACAGTGCTGTATTAAAAATTGTCAAAAAGAATTTCTAATGCAGTTTTTTATTTTCATTTCAGAGGAGACTTATCGGCATTATTATAGATATTACAGAAGACAATATGCACCTAAAGTGGATGTAAGAGTTGTTATTGCCGTCACCATAACTGTTATATCAGTATTTCAGGTATGTTGAGTAAAACCTTTTATTTTTATGGATTTTCTGTTTGGGATACTCAATTTTCTTCTTCAGATTGCCAATATAAATAAATAATAAGTGACAGTAGCTTTGTAGACGCTATGAATATATCTTCTGGTATATATGCTCCATGGTTGTAGCTTTTTATGTGCACACTATGGTTGTATCTTCTTACAATATGGTTGTAGCGCTATATATGTAGTCTACGATTGTAGTTCTATATATACAGTCTATGGTTATAACTCCATATATATATATATACAGTCTATGGTTCTAGCTCCATATATATGTACAGTCTATGGTTGTAGCTCTATACATACAGTCTATGGTTGTAGCTCCATATATGTACAGTCTATGCTTGTAGCTCCATATATATGTACAATTCACTACGTTCAATTACCCACCATAGACTCCGGTCAGTCAAAATGACTATTTTGAACTGTAGGCATTAATGGGATTCTTTCCAGCAGTATGTAAAAATAGCCGAGACTGACCGCGTCGCTCGCTCGCGAAAAGGTCGCGTGGCAAGTGCTACCAGCATAGGTATGAGTGAGTTGTGCGTTGGCATGAGTGATACAATGTAAGTCCTCATGCTCAGCTATCGGTTCTGATACCGGGATACCAAGCAAAGGGCCCGATAGTGGGGATGCCGCTGTATTTCGGCTTCCTACCGCTGATCGGAGGGCATCTGCACAGTCTGTTTTTTCAGGCAGTGGGTTACCCAAATTTACCGGCAACTATGGGGGCAGCGCTGGCACCGGTTTTGCCGCTGAAATGAGGGATTTGGTTGAAGTACTGTCGGGGCAAATTGCGTCCCGGGCAGGCAGAGTAGACCACCTGCAGGCAGAGCGAGCTGTCTCCACTGCGGCCTCTCTGCCGGCAAGTAGGAAGAAACACAGAAAGCACCATTCGCACAATAAACACGTTTTTTCCCACGTGTCCCAGCCGTGGGTCACACCGCCATCCCCTCTGATTCGGGGGAGGCCGCGCCTCAGGCTAGTCGGGGACCTCAGGCACGTAACACCAACGGGGATGCTGGTAGCCAAGGCTCCGTTTTCGGGGCAGGGCGTTTGGGGCAGGACATACATTGTACCTCTCCCTCCTCTCAGTCCAGGTAACACTATGTATATTCCCCCACCCTCGATCCTAAAGCAGTCACTTACGGTCACTTCTACGCTGATGGGATCGCAGGCGCCGGAGACTATCCAACACGCCCTGAGGGCAGAGTTGCGACCCATTAATTTTCTAGAATTCGTGGGCGCCACACTGGAGCGCATTCTTGTGCGCGCCCAGGACCCTGAGACCTCAGACGCAGAACGCAGTCGCCTCCTAGACCAGGCCACAGTTAATAGTAGGCCACCGCACGGCTATGTGCGATATCCTCCAGTGTCATATGGCTCTCTTGGTCGGGGCTACTACTGTGCAGCGGGACGCGGTTTTAGACGCGTGTGTTTTTGCCGAGTCAGGGGGTACGCCACCGCCTCAGTTACGCAGACTGGACATCGCCCACCCTCGTTGATGGGGAGATAGCGGGTGCAGTCGCAGAGCTTCGGGGTGTAACGAACCAAATGGTCCAAGTCGAATCCGCTAGCCAGTTGGCCGCTGCCAAGGGTAAACAGAGGGCGCCCCAAGCACAGAAAGCACAACGCCCTAGGACTAGCTCCGCTAACCAGAGTCAGCCAGGAGGCAAGCGCTCATACCCTTCCGCGGGAGGAAAGAGCAGAGGCGCGCCCCCGGGAAAGAGAGGACCAGGTGGTGGCTCCTCCGAAGGAGGAGGAGAATCCCTCCCTCTTACAACCGCCGAACCCATGGTCCGGTCCCAAGTCCGGGCTTCTACTCAAATGTATTCGTAGTACAAAAATCTACAGGCGGCTGGCGTCCGGTTCTGGACCTAAGCAGACTAAACCAGTATGTGCTTCTCGATCGGTTCCGCATGGAGACACCATCCAGTGTTCTACTCTCCATCCACCGGCTCGACTGGCTAGCCTCTTTAGACTTGTGCGACGCTTACCTGCACATACCGATGCACCCAGCGTGTTGCCCTCTCCTTTGATTCTCCCACCTGGTCCAAGTATTCAAATTTTGGGTTCTCCCCTTCGGGTTATCCACAGCGCCCTACGTGTTCACCAGAGTGATGAAACAGGTAGTACTGCTGCTCCACCAAATGTTGGTACACATCAATCCGTACTTAGACGACTGGTTGCTACACAACCCAGACAAGGGGTTATTAGCCATACATGTAAGGCTTACACAGGA